TTATACTTATACTTATACTTATACTTATACTTATACTTATACTTATAATTATGCTTATACTTATTCTTATTCTTATTCTTATACTTAAACTTAAACTTATACTTATACTGCATACATCCTTTACTTGCAGGTGACCAGCCTACTATCAACTCTGCAGAGCATCTTTGATGAATTTGAAGAATTACGTGCGCGCAAAACTGAAGTAACTTACATTGTAATCGGTCTGTTAGCCTTTTGCTCGCTCTACACTTGTACTAATGTAGGTTATCCATACCGCTAATGAGTATTTAACATTTCTGAATTTAGTCTATTTGCTTTAAATCTTCCAGCGCGGTGTCTTTTTCCATATCATACTCTCCAACGATACGCTCGTCACACAGACTGCCCTCAATCTTTTGTTATTCTTCGTCGTGCTGTGGGTCTATGGGCGAGTGCGTTTCCAACGCGATATTGAATTTATGTTAGGTCAAACATTTTCAACATGGAAGATTTATATGCTGCGCTTTGTTTCACCTCTGTGTCTTATACTGCTATTGGTAAGTGATCTACCAACAGAAACTTTAGAATAGATATCACTGCTGGAGGAGATAAATGGAGTAAAAGATAAAAGGTGTAGGCCTCGTCTTCCTAAATATATATACTCCTTTTGACTTACGCAGACTTGTAGTTTCTAAGTAAACTGATCAAATGTACCAAGCATCCACTAATCATCTCTACTTACAGTTAGGAACACTATTCATAGCTGTGGTGCATCACGATTTCGGTACAATTGTTCTACAAATCGCTGCGCTTCTATTTATAGTCCTACCCTGGCTATATGTACCGGGTTATATGATCTATATAATGCTACAAACTACGGGGACATTCAAGACGCGTTTTAAGCGCTGCTGTCGTCCGATGGACTGGTATCCGGTGGAATTAGTGGACCGACAACGCTATGAGGAAGCAATGCGCAATACAGATGCGACACACCAATTGAGTCATGATGAAACGGAGATTTAGTTTTAGTGAAATGAAAATATTTAAATTTAAATTTGTATAAAAGGAATGTTCAAATGATATTAAAAAATCACATGTCGAATATAATGTTTAAGAACTTTTAAAAACCAATTTTTTTTTCAACGAAGATAAATCTGGGCACAGAACTGTCGCAACGGTGTGGGCTAGTGTTACTATCCAGGTGCAGAGAGGGTATACTCTCCACACTGCATCAATACATTGTAAACATATCTACGGTTAGAAAGTCAGCCGCTCTTTTAGTGAGGGTTCAACTACCCTGATAACTGAATTGTTTGTGGCTCTATAAACAATTGTAGGCATTCGCCTTTAGAGGCGCGCGGTGCTTAACAGTCTAGTATTATTGGAAGTTTTGACTTCAACCCTATTTAAACGGATCACTAGGTACTTGGCTAAACTGACACCAGTGAGCTCTACACGGATAGGTTGACGTTGGACAGAAGTGTCGGTATAAATTTTTTTTAAAACAGCTCTCTATTTATCGCAAATTTGAGTTTCCAGATCATTGTAGTGTTTTCCAAACAGAGGTATTTGTATTTCAACATTTTTTCATTTATCAGCGGTCCAACGTTACCTTGTGTCATATGCATCAGTAGTATTTATGGTGGCAGAAAACACTGCCATACTGCGCTTTAATAGCTTTGCGTGTCCTGGCTACCGGCAGCAACTTCTGAGATAGACTCCTTTTCATGTGCCTATACATATTCAATCAGCATCAGACAATTGAGAGATGCCAGTTACAGGTATCTAACGACAACGTTAATCAAAGGAAGCGTAATGCAAATAATCGTGAGAAGTCCATCAGCTTTGAAAAGATGCGAGCTTTCTGTGCAGACGTTTCTAGGTTGAGTTATATAGCGGGATATGGCTTTTATGAACTAAAGTTTGTGAAAGGCTAATCAAACCCAGGCTTGCTTCAACACGCGTAAACTTTATGCACGGTAACACTTTTGTTGGTTGCCAGATCGAACGACGAACCGACATGAGAAGAATCCTCAACTGGCTTTGTGGGACCGCGAACCTTCCGCATAACTTATTTGAGGGGCTTAATTCAGAACTAGGTAAGTATTGTACAGCAATAGGTCAGCTTAGACTAGGTAGTCTCTTAAATACAGGCGATAGTATTTTATTTGCTCAATAAACAGCTAGATTTCAAAAGCAAGAAATCGGTCAAACCAAAGAGTCAGTGTGCCTGCTCTGTCTTGAGGACGCTGAGATGTCAGAGCAAATTCCCTCTGGCGAGGCAAAAATTTGTTTATTTAGTCATCTATATTCGAGTCCCTTAGAATTAGAACATCAAACTTCAGATATGGTGGTCGCCATCGGGGAAAATTTGTTTAGTGAAGTGTGAAGCAGTGCCAAATTCCTCTTATCGGGACTCGTTTACAAAAATTTTGGCAATAATAGTTTGCTTGCCGCAGAGAAAAGACGCAAATCAAGAGACCAGTTCCGCTAACCCTGCCAGACTTGCGAGTTATCGTGACGGTGGTGTTTAAGGCGTTTCGGCCGGAGACGAAGTAATTGACGTGGAAAATAGTCAACGTGGCAGCTTCTTCAGAAAGAGAATTTGTTCAGGATCATTTCCGCTGAAGCATTGGTGTAATAATTAGAACCTTCGGTGATCATTGATATGTTAAATTTAAGAAGATTTTCTGACTTTTTATGTCTAACCGTTTCATCTCGTTTAGTCCATAAGTCTGCTCACATTTGGCATTCATACCTAGCCATCTCATCAACTGCTCCATATTCTTCGAACTCAGGCAAGAGTGACGGTGAGATAGTCCAGTTATGCCAAAGCTATACGGAATTTCCCTACCATCCCCTACTTCACGACCTTGGAAAAAAGGAATAAAGTAGCTTATCCGGCTCCGACGGCAATATTTAATAGAAGAATCTAAGCTTCATAATCAATTCCAAATGGAAGGAGCTCTTTGGTCCAGTTCGCTTTTAAGATAAGTCGTAGCTCTGAGTTTGATAAATGCTTTCATCATCAGACAACGAGGTCTTCCCACTATGCACAAAAAACACCGCGGTACGCAAATCTTTAAAACGCCAATTACCATCGGATCTCATGGAAAAAAATATATCAGGAAAAGGTGCGTAAACTATGCAAAAAACGGAAAGAAAACTGGACAAACAATATTTGTGTTTTATGAAAATTTCGCCTTTGTTACACTAATGAAACAACAAATGCGTAATTTTTTATTTGACCCATAAAGTTTCCTTATTAGAGCAAAGCTAAAATTATTAGATCGAAGAGTGCTTCAAGCGACCATAGACACACATTTGCATAAAAAAAACTTTCGGAAAGTCATAATTGTTTTTCATATTTCTATATTTTTCGAACCAGGGTTCATCGAATTAACCGTTATCAATAAATATACATATTTCACAGAACAATGGATTTATGGGGAAATTTGCCGCATCCGATATGCAATGTAAACAAACTCACTAACACGCAAATGAGCGATGTCTATATGTACATACATACATATGTATGTATTTATGTAAAGAAACATCTTTGCAGTTTGCTTCTTTGCCATTGTATTTTACACTCTATAGCAGGCTTTCCCAAAGTGGGTGCCGCGAGCGTATGCCTGGGGTGCCGCTAGTGGCTAGAGTATACTAGTGGTGCGAGCAAATTCTTTAAACTTTCCATACACAACGCAAGCGGTTTGATCAAACTTCAAAATGGCGGTCAGAAAATCGAAAAAGTATTGATTTTTATTAAAATTACCTTCGTCGGCTCGTCAAACCACATACACAACACAAATGGCTTGCAGCAAAGTGTGTTGTATTTCGCTCTTAAGCGTAGTTTCCCAGTACGTTTTGCCAACGAAGAATTGAATCAGAAAATTTTCAGAAAAATTGCCGAAAACGTATCCTTTTCACAACCATTTTCGGTACTTTTGTAGACCTAGTCCGCGTATCATCCACTTTTCTTCCCGTTTTGCGATTAATTTTCGGATTTTTTGCTGGCTGGGCTGTTCTCGTAACAAGCGCAGCAGCTTCGCGCACGTGTATATGTTACTTATTCCTTAGAACTTCACAATCACACTGTGAAAGAGCGAATCAAGCGAAAAAGTTAAACCCAAATTTTTGACCGTGTACAGAAAAATGGTTCGAAATGGAGCAAGTGTGCGGATATTTGCAGTGGTTGGAAAAACGAAAGGAGCGATGTCTAGGATGAAGCAAGAGCCGGAAACGCCACGAGAAGTCACTGTATGATCCGTCGGTATTCCCTGGTGACTAGGAAGATGCCGCCACTAGATTTAAAACCCGTATTGGATGACGCTGCGAAGATAACAGAGGCCTGCGAACTTAAAATACATCTTTGGTTTTTTCTAGCACGTCGAGATTTTTGCATGAAAACCCCATAAATAAACAAAAAGTATAACAGAAAAACGTACATATGTAAATTCGAAGTTAACGCTAAGAAAATTGATAACAGCCGATTTCACCAGCAATTTAAACGGAAAATGATTTTTTTATTTTCTGTCAATTTCCATATAAACCAAAAAAATTAAATAATTTTTCACTTTGAATATTAAGTACTACGAAAGTAGCCAATAGAACTCTGGATGCAAGTGTATGCAGAAAACACTGTTGCTGGCAAGATTGCATTAAAAATACTAGTAACTTTTACTTTAACATTTCTATGTGAGACTGTATTTTCAACAAATGCTTACATAAACAAGTAATTTTTAAGCAAAAACAAAACCGACTTCAATTCCCATATACATATTAAAGATTATCGTTAATCTCTTCATGATGCAATGATCGGATTTAAACCAAATTACAATGGGACCACACCTTTCATTAAAAAAAATAGAATCATAGTTATCGGTTTACGTGGTCCAAAGTTATGCGGTAACATACATAAAAAAAAATAATAATAAAAATATATCAAATGATTTCAGGTTAGAATTGTGCACAATAAACTTAAGGAAATAATGAAGTTATCAAAACAATTTCAGTTCTCACATCAAAGCTAAAGGAGCATAAAGTTTGCATTGTACTTGTTTTCGTAGATATTTGAAGAGTAGGGGTGCCGCGAAATTTGTTTAGCACAACAAGGGTGCCGCGGTGACAAAAGTTTGGGAACCCCTGCTCTATAGTGCATGTAGTTTTGTTTTGCTCACTTTCATTATGAAACAGGTTGTTGATAATAACAAATTCTCAGAATTAATTGAAAAGTCCAAATATCGCTGCGAATGGTCCAGCGAAAATGCATTGCTCCAGTCGATTATATGCACTTATTTTATTGTCCTCTTAAAAATATACATTTTTTCATGTCTTCTAATAATATGTACTTGGGGCTTCACGTGAAGTTATGATGCGATTTTCTATATTTACAGCTGATAAAATATCTGTCAACAACAACAACAGTAGTACACACACACGAATAATAATGAAAAGAAATTGCTTAGCAAAGCAATATCTGGCGGCTTTGATTGCACTTTGCGGCCTGGAGTTTTACATACATACATACATAACTACATATACGTACATACAGGAATATATTTTTTGGGGGGGGGGGGGGGGTTTATACTTCTAAAGATATATCGCCAGAAAATACTGAAAAATAAAATATGTATATTTATGCAAGTTTTATGTACAGTATGTAAAAAATAAATAAATTTTTTAAAGTTTAAAATTTCTGCATGATTATTGTTCAGGGATAAGTAATTAATTGTTTTTGTTAGAAAAGCGCTCACGCATGTAGTTTAATTTCACGATGTGGAACGTTTGAACGGAAGAAATGTCAAAATCTCAAAATTCGAAATTTTTTGCAACTATTTGCATTTATTAATGTGAAAGTAGTATTTCCCAACCTGTCCCCAGTCAGAGTTGGGCATTATTCGAATAAATTGTTATTTAGATAATTATTCGAATAAAATTTTATCCGTAATATAATTATTCGCAGATAACTCATTCACGAATAATTTATTCGTTATTTTATTCGTTATTTTAAATAATGAATAAAAACTTATTTTTAACACATTGAGCCACCTTTTACTTTTATTTCTATTGTCAAGGATTGT